TCTCTCTCTCTCTCTCTCTCTCTCTCTCTCTCTCTCTCTCTCTCTCTCTCTCTCTCTCTCTCTCTCTCTCTCTCTCTCTCCCTCCCTCCCCCTCCCGTGTACGCGCACGACCTCGCGTGCTCCTTTTTTTTTTTTACAATAGAAAGGTCTCCATCGACCGCGGATCAGATACGAAACCGAAGGGAGCAGATAATACGCTTGATCGTGCGGGGAGGGAGGATTGAATATGAAACCGATCAAAGAAGATACTACAGTTGATCTTGGGGGGGGGGGAGGAGGCGCCTAGTTCGATTCTCTCTCTCTCTCTCTCTCTCTCTCTCTCTCTCTCTCTCTCTCTCTCCCTTCGATGAAGCACGGATCAGATATGAAACTGAACGAAGTAGATACTTCGCTTGATTGTGTGTGGCGGAGGATCCATATGAAACTGATCGAAGCAGATTCTACAGTTGATCGCTTGGGGGGAAGGGGAGGGGAGGGGAGGGGAGGCGCCTAGTTAGTTAGGTTACACTCCCTCTCTCTCTCTCTCTCTCTCTCTCTCTCTCTCTCTCTCTCTCTCTCTCCCTCCCTCCCTCCCTCTTGCTCGTTCGCTCGTGCGCGTGCTTTTTTTTTCTTTTATTAAAGAAAAAGGTCTCGATGGACTACGGATCAGATATGAAACAGAACAGAGCAGTTGCAACGCTTGATCGTATGGGGGGGTAGGATCGGATATAAAAGTGATCGAAACAGATACTACACTTTGTCGTGTGGGGTTGAGGGGGGGGAGGCGGACACTTCGTGAGGTTGGCCTCTCTCTCTCTCTCTCTCTCTCTCTCTCTCTCTCTCTCTCTCTTCCTCCCTCCCGCGGGCACGTTGTTTTCCTTTTTTTTTTCGATGGTCTCGCACACCCTCGATGGTTGTGGGCGGAGAAGGGGGTCGTAGTTAATCCTTTGTCTCTCTCTCTCTCTCGCGCGCGCGCATGTTTTTCCGTTTTTGTCTTTTTTGGTCCCGATGGACCGCGGATCAAATATAAAACTGATTGGTGCTGATAATACACTTGACAGCAGGTTGTAGGTTGTACCTCTTCTTTCTCTCTCTCTCTCTCTCTCTCTCTCTCTCTCTCTCTCTCTCTCTCTATCTATCTATCTATCTATCTATCTATNTCTATCTATCTATCTATCTATCTATCTATCTCACACACACACACACACACACACACACACACACACACACACACACACATGCACACACACACACACACACACACATACGCACTCTCTCTCTCATAGTTCCAAGACCACAAAAAATGTAAGCAACAGACACGAATAACAAACTCACCGTCAGTCATCAAGGTGCGGTCGTTCTAAAGCCTTGCCGCTGCACAGTTCAAGCCTCAACGTTCAGCATTCCTGGGTGAGTGTGTGTGAGTGTGTGTTTGTGTGTGTGTGCGAGTTTGCGTATGTGTGAGTGTGTTTATGTTCGCTATACAGAACTCACATCATGACTCATCCAGACTGTTTCGTCGAACTTTCAGCAACTCATCAGGAGGTTGAACGCCGACAGTCTGGCAAAGATGCATTGTACGGATGGCCAAGGGCTCACAACTTTCGCGTGTGTGTGTGAGTGCGTGTGTGCGTCCGTGCGTGCATGTGTGCGTGCGTTTGTGTATGCGTGTGTGCGTGTGACAGCGCGTCCGTGTGTGCGTGTGCGTGTGCGTGTGCGTGTGCGTGTGCGCGTGTCCAACATAGAGCGAAATCGTAGTCGTGCATAGCAGCATAGAAGTCAATCGAGAAGCTTGAGTGTCGAAAACAGGCGTTGACTCTAGAGTAGCGTAGCGCAGCGTAGCTCAGTCGAGTAGCTTTGTCGAACAGGCGTCGACTCTAACTCGTCGTCCATTATACCTGCCCTCAAGTCCGCAGTACGCGTGCTCCAGAAAGTAGTTTCTATATGTTGTAGTGGCGCTGGACGGGTAGCGCGTCCCGCCCAACCCCGGTATTGCGTGCGGTAGGGCCGGTGACACGCTTTGGTACTGACGCTGGCGCGTGGGCCCGGTACAGCCGTGGCGTGGAGCCACCGGCGACGGTTCAACTTCTAAGAGCAAACGAACAGCAGACGATCGGGAGCGTCGCGGAGTGTAAAATCGCAGGGCCCCAATCGTCTGAATGTCACAGTCCGAAATTAGCGATAGTTATATATGTAGGGACAGATCTCATAGTCTCTCTCTCTCTCTCTCTCTCTCTCTCTCTCTCTCTCTCTGCACCTGGGGGTCAAATCTTTTTCCTTGAGAAGGAAGGGATTAAATCTCTTTTTTTTCCTTTTTTCTTGTCAATGAACCTCAACTTTTCTTGATACCAGTCGTTGAATCTTTTGTTTCTTTTTTTACCGTTTCATGGATATCCTGTATTCTGTTAAATGACCAGCTGGCAAGACCAACTCGCCCTCAGCTCCTCGAGTTCCACTTCTGGAGAGCAAAACACCTTCTCTCTCTCTGCACATTGAGAGAGAGAGGGAGAAAGAGGAAAGAAAGAATAGTGCTAAAGTGATATTTTGGGAGTCGTTTATTGTCTGGAACAGAGTCCCGTGATGAAATGTGATTGAAATCTTATTACGTGTCCAGCATGTCAAGTCACTGATGCGCCGCGGCGATGTCACAGTAGGGCGGACGCTGACAAAGGAGAGAGGTAATAGTGATGCTCATATGAAGTTATTACAGTCCAAAACACCAAAAATATCAACAGATCTTGTTATCCTCCCCGTTGTCCTGGCCTCTTTAATCACTGT